TGAGTAGATTATTTTCCAATGCTTAGTTTTAATTTTCCTTTTAAAGACAAAAAGTGTAGGCTCACTTGTTAAAATTTATACTCATAAGTTAAATTCCAACTTCTCTTTTAAAGGTGGTTACAGAGTTTTCGTCAAAGCATTTTTAAATTATAAGTATTTAATATTTAACAATTTTTAACAATATGGCTTATTTGTACATAGAAACTGGTAATTTGTGTATTTAAAAATTGTAAAAATGTAATAAAATCCAATCACATTCTGTGTGTAGGCTTCATAAAATTATCTTTTAAAAATTATTAAAATTTGATGTCAAGAATTAGGTACTATTTTAATTTTACCAGTTTTTCATTTCTTTTTCACCCATCTTCATAAGAATCTGTATTTTTGCGTAACTCTGATCTGTACCATACTGGGGGACACTGTAGCGAATTGTCTAATATTTTTAAACTTTTAGCCAAATATGGAATTTTTTCAGTAGATTTGACGGGGTGTTGTTTTTGATATTTTTAGGTCCCAGGAATCCTAAAGGCTAATTTTGTGGGCATTTGCAGTTTGGCTTAATCATATTGCTAAATCTAAATTATAGCTAGTAAATTATTATTATAATGTAAATTGAATTCACTGCGCCGAAGTTTTTTCCACATGACCGGGACTAAAAGAATCATCTGAATCGTTATAGATTCATTCGTTAAGGATTTAACCAATTGATCATACGAAAATTTGACTTCCAATCAGAAATGAACAGTGGCGGCTCGTGACCTAAAAAATCTGGGGTTGCACCCATATATAGGTGTAGATATTACAAGAGATGTGCAAAGCCAAGATCGCTTTAAAAAATAAATTGGGTCATAAAAATTAAAATTATAAAAATATAAAATTTAAATTTTAAATATGACTCTAATTACTATTAGAGTTTTAAGTTAATATATTGTTTATTATATATATCTAAATTTAATTTTCTAGTAAAAGACCGGCTTTTACTGGACACACATTGAACGATGTTCAAATTTGGAGTAGGTCTTCCAAGCCTCTTTATATCGATCGACCGACTACCGAACGGATTTTCTAATAAACTTTCAACTGAATTAATCATTATTATTATAAGAAATACATATAAACAATATTAAAAACGCAGCGGAAATGTTAACCAGAGATAAAGAAGGTTAATGTTAACGCGGCCTGGCAAAAATACGTAACACGATTCACACTAAATGTTGGATTTGTCCTGCAACCACTTTCGATCTAATTAAACCAATGATATTGAACGTAATTTAATCACGTGGTCCCAACACGCCCATTCGATAGCCTGTAATGGTTTGCGACCTTAAAACACACCAGTTAGCCTCAACAATTATACACTAGATGGCGTGGTATTCGGGCATCGATCAATGAACCGATACGAAGCGCCAAGCGGGAAATTTAATTATTTGCTTGGAAACTATAGTGTTATAACAAGAAAGTTACTAAGAAAATAAAAAAAATATATATCGATGATATTTTAATAATCAAAATTTATTTCTTTCTTCTTGGGTGATTTTTTTGGGGGTTGTGCAAACCTGCAAACCTTAGGTAGAGCCGCCACTGGAAATGAATAACAAATATTTAAAGGGTTGAATACGGTTTTAATACAAAAATATTTAATATGCATTAAATGCAAAATTTTAAAATTTAACTTAAATTATTTCTTTTATAAATATGATTTTTTGTACAATATTTAAATATACAAATACAATAAATGTAAAAAAAAATTGGGAATAATATTCCCCATTGGGTGAGAATTCGAGAAACGGATCACAGTTTTCCCTACTTTGGAAAATGCAAAAAACCATTATTGGTTTTTGTAGCACTCATTGATAGTAAAATATTCCCAAATTTAAAAAAATATATATAAACAATTATAAAAGTTATTTAAAAAAGAGCGTTTTTGACAATTTTTATTCGAAAATCTCTCATGGAAATAAAGCCTTTTAATAAAATTTTACCTTAATTGAAAATTCTTCAAAACTCGTCAAATTTACATAAAAAATATATTTAAATTAAAAAAAAAAATATTTTCATAAAAAAAAATATTTGTAATAAACAATTTGCATTTTTATAATTTTCTCAATGCTCTTTTTGAAAATCGTGTTAATTTATATTTTGATAGTGATTTAAAAATGATTTTGTACGACCATTAAATATATATTATACATATGTATAGGGTGTCCGGGAAAAGGAGGTCAATCCGTTAACCATAAATTCTTTGAGTTAAAACAATAAGACTTTCATAATACCATTTTTCAATTTAGAGCTTCATATTCGATATACAGGGCGAAAATGTTTGAAATTTAAAACTGATTTTTTTAATAATTCAAATAATTGATAAGATATTAAGTTTAAATTCGGTACACTACTTCAACATAAATAGTTACATTTTTTGAGACCAACAAAACAAAAAACAATTGTCAAATAATCAAAATAGAGGGGTCCAGTACTCACTGACTCCCCCTATTTTTTAGTACGTGCGCCAATGACTTCCAAACGGTATTTTTTCAGGTAATCATTTATTGTTGAAAATTTTTTGTCACTTATAAAATTTTAATAAAATGATTTGTTTTAGAGATAATTTGTAAAGTATGGGTCAATCCATATCAAATTTTTGAAATTTAATTTTTTTTTTGAAAAATTTAGGTCATGTGATATATCATAAAAAAAGGTCTTTAATAGGCCTTTAAAATAAGACATCACTCACCTTTCTACTTTTAATAGTTTACGAGATATCGCTATTTTTGTAAGTACCCAAATTTTTTGATTTTCAAAAATCAATAAAACAAAAACCACCCATCGAAAAAAATTCATATATGGGATTTTTGAGTTTTTTAGTGAGGTAAACAAATTTACCAAAAAATATTAAAATCGGAGATGGTGGGGGAAGAACCTTTGGTTGATTTGATATGGACTGACCCATACTTTACAAATTATCTCTAAAACAAATCATTTTATCAAAATTTTATAAGAGACAATTTTTTTTAACAATAAATGATTACCTGAAAAAATACCGTTTGGAAGTCATTGGCGCACGTACTAAAAATAGGGGGAGTCAGTGAGTAGTGGACCCCCCTATTTTGATTATTTGACAATTGTTTTTTGTTTTGTTGGTCTCAAAAAATGTAACTATTTATGTTGAAGTATTGTACCGAATTTGTTTTAAATTTCAAACTTTGTCGCCCTGTATATCGAACATGAAGCTCTAAATTGAAAAATGGTATTATGAAAGTCTTATTGTTTTAACTCAAAGAATATATGGTTAACGGATTGACCTCCTTTTCCCGGACACCCTGTATATTTATACAAGGTGTCCCTAAACTCAGTGGCATAAATTTAGGAGCAGATTAAGCAAGTCAAAATAAGACGAAAATCTAAATAAATATTTTTCCTAATTAGGTATGTTTAAAAGATACAGGGTGATAAAGTGTTACTTATCATATCAGTTTTTTTAAGGTTAATATAACTTCCACTATGGTAGACTTGGAAAGGTGATATTTTACGAACAGTCACTTACTACCAAAACACATATTCACACATAATTACAATTATTCGAGTGAATGCAGTGTCGTAGAAACAGGGGTTGCTTAAGCTTATTGTCCCATACAAACTTTGAGGTTAGGTTTTTATACCATTTGATGCAATTTTTCGATTACTCAGTTCGGTTACTATTAAAAAGGTGTACCTCTAAAACTTCGATAAAATAAACCGTTTCCGAGATATCCGAGATTACAATAATTGTTACATGGGATTAAAGGACTAAAAGGTATATGATAACAAATTTTTAATTGAAAAAAGTACATTTTTTTTAATGTGACGGTCAGGGCAAAAAGTCTCGAGGCTCATGGAATGCCGTTTTTACTTTTTTCAATTAAAAAATAAAATTTGTTATCATATACCTTTTAATCCTTTTAAATAATGCGATATAACAATTATTGTAATCTTGAATATCTCGGAAACGGTTTATTTTATCGAAGTTTGAGAGGTACACCTTTTTAATGGTAGACGAACTATGTAATCGAAAAATTGTATCAAATGTTATAAAAACCTAACCTCAAAGTTTGTATGGGAAGATAAGCTTAAAGCAACCCCCGTTTCTACGACACTGTGTTCACTCAAACAATTGTAATTATGTGTGAATATGTGTTTTGATAGTAATTGAGGTACACCTTTTTAATAGTAGCCGAACTGAGTAATCGAAAAATTGCATCAAATGGTATAAAAACCTAACCTCAAAGTTTGTATGGGACAATAAGATTAAGCAACCCTTGTTTCTACGACACTGTGTTCACTCAAACAATTGTAATTATGTGTGAATATGTGTTTTGGTAGTAAGTGACTGTTCGCAAAATATCACCTTTCCAAGTCTACCATAGTAGAAGTTATATTAAAAAAACTGATATGATAAGTAACACTTTATCAGCCTGTATCTTGGAAACATAAGTAATTAGGAAAAATATTTATTTAGGTTTTCGTCTTATTTTGACTTGCTCTATCTTTTCCTAAATTTATGCCAATAAGTTTAGGGACATATTTACAGGGTGTATCACGGTCGATGGTAGGTTAGACGTTTATGGAGAACGGCAAAAGATATCGAATTGAAATTTTTATTTATGAAAATATTTTTTTTATTTAAATATATTTTTTATAAAAATTTGATCAGTTTTGAAGAATTTTCAATTAAGGTAAAATTTTATTAAAAAGCTTTATTTTCATGAGATTTTCGAAAAAAAAATCGTCAAAAACGCTCTTTTTAAATAACGTTTATAATTGTTTATATATATTTTTTTTTAATTTGGAATATTTTACTATTAATGAGTACTACAAAAAACAATAATTGTTTTTTGTATTTTTCAAAGTCGGGAAAACAGTGATCCGTTTCACGAATTCTCACCCCATTATATTTTTGTAAATTCTACTAAAATATCATATTTATTTTTGTTCAGAATAAAAAACCAAAAAATAATGCTATTAACCTGTCTTTTCTTATTCTCATCTTCAATCTTTCGTTTTGCTTCAATTTCAGCTTTTATCCTTCTATTTTCTTCTTCTTTTCGTTGATTAGCTTCCTCTTCTTCTTTTTGCTTTTTTTCTAGTTCTAATTCTTCCTGAATCTTTCTTAATCTTGCTTGCTCTTCAGCATTCTTCTGTTCTTGAACTTTATTTTGTAATGTTTCCATTTGTAGGTTTACTTTGGCAACTAAATCAGAGTAAAGTATTTTTGTTTCTTCGGCTGGAATGTTATTATTCATCTAAAAAATATTTTATTGGTCCAAAAAATATTTGTTATATAAGCTTTGTTTACCTTTATTTTATGACAAGCCATGGTGATTTCGTTTTTTAACTGGATAATTGCATCACCAGCTTGTTCTTTGTTTTTTAACTGAGCTGCACATTCTTCCATTTTTTTTAGGGTTATATCTAATCTTTTTAACTGTTTTAAAGCCTTTAATCTAGGACCATGTTGTTTTTTAACCAAGTACCCTTTGACTGTTTTTTGTATTAATACCAAAGCTTTATTTCTATAAGCTATTCTCTTTTTTACTAAAAATATATACTTATATAACATTTAGGATCCAAAATAACAAACATTAATATTTTAGTAAAATTACAGGCAAATATATAATAATGCTTACATTTTATTACAGCTAATGCACAAAATTGTGTTTTAACCCATCTAGATTTTACCAACCATGTTTTAACACTGCCTACGATAGCCCTTAAATTTTCTGGATCTGACTTCATAATTTTATCAAATTCAGCAAATTTTCCAGGTCTAAAGAAAACTCGTGTTATACCAAACTTGTAATCCTTGTTTTGCAATTTTAAACTATGAAGCATTGCCTAAAAGTAGTGACGATCAATATTAATATTATGTCATAAACCTTACTTTGGTTTACTTCGCAGAATGTTTTGGGTGGTAGTTGCTTTAGTTCCTTTGGCAAATATTCTACATACATATTATACAAATCGTCAAACTTCGTTCTACTAGGATATCCATGTTCCATTAATTCTAATACTGAAGTCATACCTGCACATTTAAGTTGCATTAAACTTAAAGCGCCCTCAAATTGCTGATCTACCATTTTGGTATTGGGTTTAACGCACCTAATAAAATTGGTACCCTAGAAAATTTAACTTAATATATATAAATATATACATATAAACTTAAATAGGTATGTATATTTACATTGTTTTGTAATTTCTCCATAAGCTCGCCCAGCTGAGTCTTAAATTTGTTACCGACGCTAATAAAAGTAAGTTTTCCTTTCTGTGCAATAGAAGTAGAAAATAAGTTTTGTATAAATGTATTCCTACTTTCCTGAATAATTCCTTCAAGGGAGGCATGTAGGGCATCATTGTTTTTACCAATAAATTGTCTCTAAAACATGAACAAAATTAAAAAATTAAAATTACCCAGTCAGGTAACTAAAAGTAAGAGTTTTATAAGTCTAATTTTCTCTTAAAAACTCTGAATAAGACTTATTAAGTCGAAAAAAGTCTGAATAACTCTTAGTAACCCGGACAACATTCATACGAACATCATGTCGTGATTTTCACAAATTTTATTCATACTGATATCATACGGAAGTCACCGCGTGGTTTATAAAAATCATACGAACGTCACGTCGTGATTTTCACAAATTTTATTCATACGGACATCATCCGGATGTCACTGCGTGAGAAATGCCATCTGTGCACCGACATGTTTGGATATTTATTTTTGCGCCACATTCGTACATTGTGAGAAAATGTATGTTAACAATTGAATTAACAGTTTTTGCGTTTAAATACATTTAATATTTTCTTAGATGTAAATTAACTATTAATCGAAAAAAATATTGAATATATTTAACCACAAAAACTGTTGATTCAATATACATATATGTAGGTATACTTTTTCTCTCAATGTACGAATGTGGCGCAAAAATAAATATCCAAACACCGATGGCATAAAAAATCACGACATGATTTTTTATGCTAACGGTGTTTGGGCATAAAAAATCACGACATGATTTTTTATGCTAACGGTGTTTGGGCATAAAAAATCACGACATGATTTTTTATGCCATCGGTGTACCGACATGTTTGGATATTTATTTTTGCGCCACATTCGTACATTGTGAGAAAATGTATGTTAACAATTGAATTAACAGTTTTTGCGGTTAAATACATTTAATATTTTCTTGGATGTAAATTAAATATTAATTTAAATCCAAAAAAAAATTGAATATATTTAACCACAAAAACTGTTGATTCAATATACATATATGTAGGTATACTTTTTTCTCAATGTACGAATGTGGCGCAAAAATAAATATCCAAACACCGATGGCATAAAAAATCACGACATGATTTTTTATGCTAACGGTGTTTGGGCATAAAAAATCACGACATGATTTTTTATGCCATCGGTGCACCGACATGTTTGGATATTTATTTTTTCGATGGATGTAAATTAACTATTAATTTAAATCCAAAAAAATATTGAATATATTTAACCACAAAAACTGTTGCTTTAATATACATATATGTAGGTATACTTTTTCTCTCAATGTACGAATGTGGCGCAAAAATAAATAACCAAACACCGATGGCATAAAAAATCACGACATGATTTTTTATGCCATCGGTGCACCGACATGTTTGGATATTTATTTTTGCGCCACATTCGTACATTGAAAGAAAAAGTATGTTAACAATTGAATTAACAGTTTTTGCGGTTAAATACATTTAATATTTTCTTGGATGTAAATTAACTATTAATTTAAATCCAAAAAAATATTGAATGTATTTAACCACAAAAACTGTTGATTCAATATACATACAGGGTGTCCCATAATTAGCGTGCAATACTTTAACAGCAGATTCTACGTACAAACATAAGAAAAAAAGTTCCTATAAACATAGGCCGAGAAATGCTTTCTAAACTTAAATGAAATAGAAGAATTTCTTGAACAATATGTGGTAAAAATTGAAAATATAATTATGGTTGGCGATCTTAACATAAATCTATTAAAAGGCACAAGTTCAATAACTAAAGAATACATGAATCTATTAAATAGTGGTAACCTTAGAGTGATTAACAATGCAACATGTTGCAGAAGAATAAACCCTAGAGGTGAGGATTCCATCATTGATCATGTGGTAACAAACCTGGATCAAGAAAAAAATAACAAAACTAAAGCTTGAAGATACACACTTGAGTGATCATAAACTTATCAATTTCAAGGTTAACTCAGAAAGATAAACACCTCCAAAAAAGCAAACTTATAAAATAACAAAAATAAACTATACTCAGCTGGAATTAAACGTAAAAAAAAAGAAGATCTCCGAAGGTAATATAACTAATTTTAATATGCTACACAACTTGATAAAAACTGAACTTTCAACAAATACAAAAACTTTCACTAAAAAATATACGTTGTCAAATAAAGAAGGATGGATGACTTTTTCAGTCCACAACTCTGTTAAAACCCGAAACAAAGCCTACAAAAAAATGAAAAAATATCCAAGAAAAGAACATTATAAACAAATTTTTCTTAAACTAAAAAAGGAGTGCCAAAAATTAATAAAAAAAGCTAAACAAACCTATTATAAGGAACAAATAAACACAGCAGAGGGGAACTCTAGAAAATTATGGAAAATAATAACAGGCCTAAAATATCAAGAGAGTATAGAAAAAACCGTAATTAAGAAAATAAAAATCAACAATATTACAACAACTAAACCAAAAGCCATCGCAAATATAATAAATAAAAGAAATAACCTTTATAATAGATAACATAAAATCAAATGCCTTACCAGGATATGATAACATAAAACCCAACTTAATTAAAATATGTCATCGCCCCTATACTAGTCCAACTTATAAATATGCAAATAAAAAATGGAATTTTTCCAGATGAACTAAAAATGGCTAGAATAATACCTACCTATATATAAGTCAGCTGATAAAACCGAACCAGGAAACTACAGGCCAATAGCTAATTTAACAGTCTTCAGCAAGATATTTGAAAAAGTCCTTCATACAAGGCTATCTGAACACATATCTAATGCAGGGATATTAACAGAAAGTCAACATGTATTTCAAACATGCAAGGGAACAACAACAGCAATAAACAACCTAATCAACTACATCTTCACGCAACTTGACAACAAAAAAACAGTAACAGGACTGATTTTAGATTACAAGAAGGCTTTTGACACTGTAAACCTGGACTTACTAATTACAAAAATGGAAAATATGGGAGTAGTAGGCAAGGCTCTAAAAATATTTCAGTCATACTTAAACAATCGACGACAGTAGGTACACAGTGATAGGAAGTCAAAGTAGTACAATAGAGAAAACAGAATATGCAAAATGCTCATGTACGCGGATGACCTGGCGATTTTTTACAATAATGAAATTGACAAAGATACGAAAAATAAAATTAAACAAGACCTGAACATACTACAATAATGGACAAATGTTAACCAACTAACTCTAAATCATCAAAAATGTCACATAATACACTTTGAGGCAAGAACTCGAGAACATCATATGAACATCGAAATTAAGGAGACACTAAAGGAAGTAACAACAATCAAATACCTGGGATTAAACATCGACAAACAACTAAGCTGGAAGCAACACATACACAAGCTCAATGAGACATTGTCAACATACATATATCTAATGAACAAATTAACTCCAACTTTACCTCTTAAACAAAGATTACTAGTTTATGATTCATATATAAAAAGCCAAATGACTGCAAAAGGAACATCTAAAAAATCCCTACAGCGAAATCAAAATAAAATTCTTAAGATTATACCTATACAAAATGGATAAATACACCCCTACAAAACAACTATATAAGAATACCCAGCAACTAACAATTGAAGAATTGAGACAGCTAGAAACGTGCAAACTAGTCCACAAGATTGTGATAAAGGAGATTCAAGACAAGGAGGTGTCATATAGAAAAAGAGCAAACACACATGAACACAACACAAGAGGAGAACAATTAGACATGAAAGAGCTAACACAAAATATGGAGAAATGAACATAAATCATCAAGGATACAAACTATACAATAAACTACCAGTGAATATAAAAAACCTATCTCAAACATTGTTTAAAACCAGATTAAAAACTAAGCCAAAGAGACACTACCTAAATTATCTTAAAAAACTTTATGTATTTAAATATCTATTTATTTCATTTATATTAATATTATTTACTTATAGAACAAAATATTTATTGTCAACATTTCATATTGTTATGTTATTCGTTATTATCATCACTGTGATATGAGGAGCCCCTGAAGATGGTTTTTATTTAATATATCCAAAACCGTTCAGGGTAGACAAGTAAAATTTTGGGAATTAATCAAACTTTATGGCCAATAAGATGTAATAATAACAATTCAAAATTTCCATGAGGGGTTGGTCAGATAGATAGGGAATAGGGGTTAAAACCACCCTAACTTTTTGTACGTGTCTCATTTGAGGTCAGATTATGAAATTTCGGAATTTTACACACAAAAAAGGTCCTCTTGTTAAACTTTGATATTGTCCACTGTTTTCGCTTAAAATAAATTTAAAAATTACCTTACATAGCATAAAAGATCATAATGAATTCAGAAATATTCAGAGTAGGCCATGGAACACAGCTGCCATCTTTAGGAAAAATTATTTAAGACAGGTGACAGTTTCATGTAATATGTGACAGGATGTTTAAAAATTGTCCATGGCCATGTTTAAAAATTGTCCATGGCCTACGCTGAATCTTTTTCTCTAGTTGTATTTTCATTATCAATTTTTATGCTATGTAAGGTAATTTTTAAATCGATTTTAAACGAAAACGGTGCATGCTATCGAAGTTCATCAAGAGGACCTTTTTTGTGTGTAAAACTCTGAAATTTTATAATCTGATATCAAATCATAGCACAAGATACGTACAAAAAAGTTAGGGTAGTTTTACCCCCACTCCCTTTCTATCTGACTCACCACTTATGATTTTTTTGAATTTGTTATTATTCCTACTTATTGACTATAAAAAGTTTGATTATATACCAAAATTTCACTTTTCTATCTTAAACAGTTTTGGAGATATTATATAAAAACCATCTTCAGGGGCTCCCTTTTCGGGGGCTGTAGCTCCCTTGGAAATAATTTCTCGACCTATTTTTATAGAAACTTTTTTTCTTATTTTTATACGTAGAATCTGCTGTTAAAGTTTTGCACGCTAATTATGGGACACCCTGTATACTTTTTCTCTCAATGTACGAATGTGGCGCAAAAATAAAAATTCAAACACCGATGGCATAAAAAATTACGACATGATTTTTTATGCCATCGGTGTTTGGTCATAAAAAATCATGACATGACTTTTTATGTCATCGGAGTTTGGATATTCATTTTGCGACACAGACGTACATTGAAAGAAAAAGTATGTTAACAATTGAATCAACAGTTTAACATTCAATATTTTCTTGGATTTAAATTAATTTTATATAGTTAATTTAAATCCAAGAAAATATTAAATGTATTTAACCGCAAAAACTGTTGTTTCAACATAATTTTTCTCTTAGTGTACGAACGTGGCGCAAAAATAATTATCCAAACACCGATGGTCAATCGCAAACAGCGATTGCATAAAAAATCACGACATGATTTTCATTTCTCACGCAGTGACATATGGATTATTCGCAGTTCGCAGGGCTCATACGCATGCGCAAATTTTGCAAATATCACAACGTGAGTTCTACATGATATCACTGTGATGAAGCATGTGTATGCACTCAGGATATCACAGCGTGATAAAAAAAAATCACGTTGTGATATCATCATGACTTCACCAGGAAATCCCGATTGTTGTCCGGGAAGTCAGACTAATAGCAAGATTTGGGAGTCTTCTGGAAGTGTTAATAAGACTTAATAATACTTTTTGCAGAAAAATGGTGGGTATACCTATGCGATTAAAATAAATATCCGGGATTATTCAGAGATGTTGTATTTGGTTATTTCAAAAGAAAACACAAAGAAAAGTATTTATTTTTGTTTTGTTATAAGGCTTATATTATAAAAACACGAAAGCAATGTTTACAATATAGGTAAGCAACGTTTACTCCAATTTATTACAATAAAACAGTTAACTGAGACATACGTTTGATTTGTGTACAGGGTGGTCCACGTAAGGTGACCCATATACTTATCTCAGAAACTACTGGAGTCACAAAAAATTTGTAGGAAACAAATATTCATGAAGTAAAAAATATTTTTAAAATATTATATTTTCATTTATACAGGGTGTTCGGTTTTCCTTGGGACGATACCAACTTTCTTATTTTCAATGGAACACCCTATATTTTTTTGCATTTTTGGATTCTACACACTCTTTTAGGTATACTTTGTAAATATATTAATTAAGAAAATGTTAATACTTTTTGAGTAAAATGAGGATTTATTAATATTTCTCTAAATGTAGACATTCGCTAAAAGTTATTATTATAACCAACTAAAAGTTATTATTTTTCATATTATGTAGCATTCATCTCTTTAATAATAAGTAAGCTATAAGTTAATTAATTTATTTTTTGGAAAATATTATACAGGGTGTTTCTTTGAATAATGAAAATTTAACTAAGGTAATTGGAAAAAAGCTACTAATTGTGAAAAATGCGAATATTTTTTTTTCTGTTAGGTTTAGGTATAGGACATATATATATAAAATGAAAGGAAATTACTTATTCTATACAATTATGCAAAAATATATAGGGTGTTCCATTGAATAAAAACAAGATTTTAAACTTTTAAAATCGCTATTTTCAACGGGACATAAAAAACACCCTGTATGATATTTTCCAAAAAATATAATTATTAACTTATAGCTTACTTATTATTAAAGAGATGGATACTACATAATATAAAAAATAATGACTTTTAGTTGGTTATTTTTAACTTTTAGCGAGTGTCTACATTTAGAGAAATTTTAATAAATCTTAATTTTACTCAAAAAGTATTAACATTTTCTTATTTAATATATTTACAAAGTATACCTAAAAGAGTGGGAAGAATCCAAAAATGCAAAAAAATACAGGGTGTTCCATTGAAAATAAGAAAGTTGGTATCGTCCCAAGGAAAACCGAACACCCTGTATAAATGAAAATATAATATTTTAAAAATATTTTTTACTTCGTGAATATTTATTCCTTACAAATTTTTTGTGTCTCCAGTAGTTTCTGAGATAAGTATATGGGTCACCTTACGTGGACCACCCTGTACATACAGATCCCTTGTTGATTACATAAGGTATAATAACTATGCGTCTAACGGTACCGGGTTCGATTTCCGGTCACAGCCCTGGGTGTTGTGATTGTTTATTAAGACAAAAATACATATAATGTGCTGGCTAAATAGGCTGAAAAAGCCTAAAAGCCAATAAAACTTAAAAAAAAATAACTATAAGAACTCTTTGCAACCCATAGGCATGATATTTTCGACAGTTGAACTCATAAAACAAATATGGTTGATCTTTGATCTGCTTTCATAGTGTTGCCATAAAAGCTCCTAACCATAAATTACAAAATACTAAAAAACAAGTTATATTCTAAATTTAGTAGCGCACTCGCCATATTTTGATAAATAAATTAAATTAATTTAAAATTGTTGTATAAGTCAATAAAAATGTAACAGGATAGAATAAAATAATTGTGCATATTTAGTAAATATACGTTATTATTTACTGAAAATTTATTTTGTTATTTTGATAGAAATTTTTGAGTAAAATACTTGCAAACGGCAACACTGGGTCGGACTAACAGAAGAATAAAACGTAAAGTGGCAACAATGAAAGCAAGTCAAGCGCATCGTATGTAAATAATTATAAGTGTTATAATTATTACACCTTACATGTTATTATATGGGTAATTATGCAATAAACCTGGCTTATAACAGCAAAAATGTTAATAAATATTTTTATTGTTGTTTTATTTTACAATAACCAAATACAACCTCTCTGAATTATTCCGGATATTTATTTTTATCGCTATAGGTACCTACCATTTCTCTACTAAAAGTCTTATTAAGTCTTATTAACTCTTCCAGAAGACTCCTAAATCTGGCTCCTATTCTGACTTACTAAGACTTATTCAGACTTTTTCCGAAGTAAGACTTTCAAAACTCTTATTTTTACTTATTAAAACTTTTTCAGAGAAACATTTCCACAAGGGAATATTATTATTACCGTTTGATAACAAACTGCACCAGCAAAATGTCTAACAAGGAATCCCTCATCATCTCTTATGCTTCTATGTGCTTTAAGCTTTGATGATCTTGGAAGAGCAAGTCTAAACTGGTTTGTCCAAGTTTTATGAATTTCCTCAGTAAAATGCGTATATGATGGTTTTGGTAGTTTTGATTCTTCATCCAAAAGTTGCAAAATACCTTTATTTTTAGTTTCAATCAAATCTTAAACAGTATCATAAAATATAAAATGAATATGTATTTTGTTTTTTATTCTTACCAATACAATCTTGATTATCAACAAATGTTATTTCAGGAACACTTAATCCTTCCCTCTTATATAATTCTTGCTCGTGCTTTAAAATTCTTTGGTTAAAGAACTGTTGCAATTTTTCATTACAGTAATTTATACAGAATTGCTCAAAACTGTTTACCGTAAAAAATTCTACAAATAATTATTTTAAATGCATATCTAAAAATGTATAAAATATATTACCAAAACCAGCAATATCCAAAATACCGACATAATAATTTGTTTCCTGTAATGGAATACTTTGATTTATACGATTAACAATGAAATCAAATAAGTTACTATAAATGGCTTTTGCCAAAGCATCACGAGCATTATTTGCTTCATGTAACTTTAGAGGAACCCTGGAATTAAACGAGTCAATATTATCTTTTAAATAATATAATATTTTTGTTTACATTATAACAGTCCCTTTAAATCCGCCTCGACTACTCTGCATAACTCTAGACACAAGAGCTTGCCTTAAGTCTCCAGAATCAATTTCTAATAAATGTGAAGCAATTTGAAGGGATTTTTCATTAGTGGTGGAAACCCTGCAACCCCCTCTTGTATCCTCAGGATCGTCCTCAAATTCAATGTTTCCTAAGTGAAGCACTGCAGCAACGGTCGAATAAATTTGTAGTTTTTCACACTTATTTAGTCCTATACGCGATAAGGCTTGGTCAAGTTTATTGAAATCTTCCATATCATCCAAAAGAATATCTTTTAAAGGACCTTGTTTAATATGCTCATCACTTTTTTGTCCCGGTGTCAGTTTTTTTTCAGTTTCTGGTTTTGTAAAATATCTGGTACAACCATGTTTTAAATACTGTAAAAAATTGAATTTAACTTCTAAAATAAAAATATATAAATTCTTACATTAAAGTCATTGGGTTTGGATAGCATAAGTTTACTTCTAATAATTTCTGGTGCACCAGCCATTAACATATAAAAAATATGATAGCTTCTTTCCGATTCTTGTACAGAACAAATTCTGGACTTTTCCAAAAGATAATGTGATATAAAACCACCTGTCACCTGAAATTTTTTATCGAAATGTACTTCAATAAATTTGCCAAATCTTGAACTATTGTTGTTTCTTGTTGTTTTAGCGTTACCAAACGCTTCCAAAACTGGATTTGCATCTATGATTTTTTGCTGGAGAGTTCCAGCTTCGGCAGCCCAAGAATCACATAAGAATTTTAGGAGGTGCTTTGTGGATTCAGTTTTTCCGGCTCCCGATTCCCCAGAAACTATAATAGATTGTGACTGTCTTAAAACTTTCATATCTCTGTATGCCTTGTCTGCTATTGCAAAAACATGAGGAGGTCTTTCTCCCAAAGATTTTCCTAGGTAACTTTTTAAAGCTGTTGATGAATATAATTCAGGGATGTCTTTATATGGATTTACTGCTATTAGAATATTTGCTACGTAGGACTAAAAATGTTGGACTAAAATTATGTTACCCAATTTGTTAATAAAGTACTTACATAGATTTTATTTTTATAATATCTTTGGCGAATATTATTTAAAAGTGATCCCTCATTTAAAAACATGATTTCGCCTAAAATGTATGATTTATTTTTATAATAGTAAAATAAGAGTCAATACTAACAATTATCATCATAGTCCTTGTTGACATCAGCTTGTGCTCGAAATATATCCCTAAAAGGTAAAACCCTTTTTTGAAATTTTGTGTTGTGAGGAGTGACTTCGGCCCCATCGTCGAGAAGTTCTGATATTCGAGCTAGAATAAAGCCATCGATTGGGTCTCGAGCCCATACGTTTTCATCCATAATTTAAACTGAAAAAAATATTAACATTTTACTTTATTATTGTAATATACTGTAAAATCTTTATTTATTGTGCGATTTTAACCGAATTTTATTTTAAGTGTAGATATTTATGCATTGTATTTTTTGAGCAAAAGCGTCATATTTGTACAAAAAGACATTCTAGTAGGACATAGCTATGTATATATATTAACAATTTTTTTAAATCTATGCAGGGCACTGGATTCACCACCCCTCAAAACAGTCCTGTACTAAATTTTATCAAAATTTTTTTCACAAACTCGATAATTTCAATTTAAGTTACAGCCCCATTTGGAACTCACCAAGGTCCGATTGATAAAATAAATGGAATTATTTGTTAATGGGGGTAAACGTGGGTACAATGTGCCTAGGAATTCTTGAAAACCATTCCTCCAACTTTTAAAATTAAAGATTTATATTTTTTCGGGTTTGATCCCGGGGGGATTAGTTACTTTTAGTCTCAAAAGTCCCGAGATTGGAAAAAGGGCTCGGGATTGACACCGCTAATCACAACGTACCGCATCCCCGTTCAGAATACATCTGTATTACATTTGTATATACCTCGTAATAGATCAATTCACATAACTACCCGTACGCAGTCAACAAATATTTGATTGTTAACCTTCCCAACAAAATAATGGGTTTTCTTTTTACCGTCTAATTTAGTCAGCCAAAAATCGCCCTTTGTTATTTTTTCATTACACAGAAAAAACGCTAGCATAGCATGAATGGGCGAGCCATTAAACTAATGGGATCTTGTAATCCGTATTCCTGAATATCAGTTCCTATAATACCAATGGGTAGTTAGCACTTGGTTTATAATCGTTTACTGTTTTTAAATTAACAACAAAAGTTATCGCTCGTAAATCTATTGATATTCATATTGATATTTATTTGTTAGAATGGTAGAATGTTATTGCATTAAATACTAATTTGATTTATTTAATAACGTTACTATTGTATGTAGTGATGTAAAATTCTCGAGCACGTACGAGCACAAACGAGCATGAACGAGAATAAACGAGCATAAACGAAAAAAACCCGAGAGAAGGAGAATTTTGAGCATTTTGAGAATTTTGAGCATTTTCGGAAAAAACAGGAAAAGTAAGTTTTTGTATACTTTATCACACCCAAAACATATGTTTGGGGTGTGATAAAGTATTCAAAAACTTACTTTTCCTGTTTTTTCCGAAAATGCTCAAAATTCTCCTTTATATAAATTCTCGAGTTTTTTTCGTTTATGCTCGTTTATTCTCGTTCATGCTCGTTTGTGCTCGTACGTGCTCGAGAATTTTACATCACTAATTGTATGTATACCATGTATACATTTAACGCAATAAATTCTTTGACATTTAGGCAAAATATTTCCCTATTTTGGTTTAATAGTAATTAATTGAGCAAATAACAATTTAGATTGCTTCAATTTTAATGCATTCAATGACAGCGCTGTTCTTGGTACTATGTTAGATTTTTTTCTGTGTAATATTAGTCGCAACATTTTCTTTATCAGTGTCCAAAACCGAAGGCCAATCAACATAATCGGAATCAGACCCTTCAAATTCATTAATTTCTTCATCAGAGGACAATGTGGAGCTTTCTTCGACTATACTTTTAGTTACATTATGAACTCTTTCTCTTTTTTTAGCAAGTCTCTTCTCATTGGTTGAAACTCGATCTGTCACGCTTAAAGATAATTATTCGTCTTTGCCAAAGACATGTTCATTTAGTGGCCAAATTTTAGATGCTTTAAAATCCGCTTGAATATTAATCGGGTTAAATGGTCTTGGTTAGCCTGTCCAACAATTTCAGCAACATCATAAATAGTTAGTGGCTTTACAGGGTGTGCCTGCAGCCAGTCAGTAGCTGCTGCATTATAAAACAAATTTTAACTGTCCAAATACACAGCTTATGACTTGTGTGAGGTGGAAATGTAAACATAATCACCCAGGATTTTTTTATAGATTATACTTCAATGTGGCTTTCATGGTTTTGCGTGTTTAATAAAATGCTTTAGGAATTTTAAAAACTTTTCTTAATTCGACCAGCCGCTTAGCATATGTTCCTTGAAATGAACTCGTGGAAAAATCATAGCTGAGGTATGATATTGTCTATTGCATTGATGACACCAATAACACTGTGCACGAAATTGACAATTTTTTGTGAACAACCAGGGCACTTATCGGTTTAAATAAATTCGGGTACGCTGATTCCAATGGTGTTTGTCATTTTTTTGGGTTAGGTCACCAATGCGGGTTTTTTCTGAAATGTTTTGTGTAGTAAATCAATAAATTTCGCTAAAATTCAAATGTATATTCAATGTTTACAAAAAAATATTCGATTTAATTTAAAAAAAATACAATTTTTTATCATTTGTTTACAAAATATGCATTTTATTTATACTTTATAGTTTTTTGATTTCAAATCAATTTCAACATAGTTTATTTTATGAATTAAATATAAAAAGAAACAGAATAAAAACCCCTGCCTTCACCTATATTCCAATGACATTGGGTACCTATAAAATATGGATTCATCTGCAATGTAATCATATTTAAGGTTGTTAAGCCCGATTATTAAGTTAATCGATTTCCTGCTAAATATTAGCTATCAGCAATTTTTGTATTAATATTATCCAACTTATGCTGTAAAATATATTAACCTGTATAAAAATAAGGTAGTCATCAATTGTAGAGATACACGAGTCGTTGACCAATAAAGTCACCTACGGAAGGAAAAGTTATTTTATTTCATCTATTATATAAAAAGGGTGATAAGTTAATAAAGAGTATGAAAGTTTAAGACACACCATCAAGGAACATTACACATCTTCACCAAAAAAAAAAAACAAAATTCAGTTATTATTCTACACATTTTAATATAGCATTCTATTACGATATGTTTTTACACGATTTCTTTTTATCGGTAGATATCCGCGTTTTTATTGGTTTGCAATGTTAATCGTTTAAAAGTGTCCAAAATGAATACATGTGGAGTATTAAAATTCAATAACTTTTGTTATGTTTGCGGAAAATACACTCTTAAGCCTAGTCGGCGTAAAATTACTTCGGAAATTGTTGAAATACGAGGCTTGCCTTTTATATTTCGGGAATGGCCGATCCTGCTGCTGTTATATGACAACAGATGTCTCTATCGTTAAGTTCGACCTTTTAGACAGTGTTCTTACTTAAAACATTTTGACGTGCGGGCGCAATTAGTGTCATTAACATTCACTAAAAAATTAATGCCGGTCAAAAAATGGAATTGATCGTGAACATTTTTATGCGATAATTTTTTACAACTTTAAAGGGTGATTATCGGTGATATTCCGAATTCAATCGTAGCCGTGGTTCGCTCTCCGACGAATTTTGTGAAGATTGTCCAAAATCAGTCATTGTCGCAATAAACATTGATGCTGTGCCTAAACTGGTACTGCAAGATCGTCATGTGACATATCGTGAGATTGAGTCATCCTTGGGCATTAGTGGGACCAGCATACATTCAATATTAAATGAACATTTGGCCGTAAGAAAAATTTGTTCCCGTTGGATCCCACATAATTTGACAATCGATCAAAAAAAGGGTGGTGTCGAGTGGTCAAAAGAAATGCTTTAAAAATACGATGGCGGTGCTTCAAAACATGTTCATGACGTCGTAACAGGTCACGAATGATGGATCTATGCGTATGAACCTGAAAGTAAACAGCAGTCGACTGTGTGAGAAAATGCATGTTTTGGAGAGACCTCAATCGGAGTGGAAAAAATGCTTTGAAAATTGGTTCAAGCGCATGCAAAAGTGTGTCGATCTTCATGAATATTTTGAAAAACAATAAAGCCATGTACGATGATTAATTAATGTTTGTTTTCTCTATTCCTGAAATATAAAAGGCAACACTCGTATATCGCCAATACTTCAATCAAGATGTTTTTTGTTATTTGGAATGGGCTCCGTCTACCATTTGTACAGGATGCTTAAAAAAATTTAATCAGTGGAATAAAGGTGAGATCAATTGTATGCCTTTCGGTATTTCTATGATTTGGACGGACCCACAGGGACATAATTCAGATGAATGTATGTCTGCGTGAATTATATTTTCGGAACAAACAGAAATAAGATACGTTCTATGACATACAAAGCAACAAAATTTGTTCAGTTGACATTGCCGGACTCAGAAAGCATACCCATCGCAAATAGACCGAGCCCTACTGAAGAATACATGCCGTCAACTTTTGTAACCGCTACGTCACCATACCATACCATAAGGAAATTACAAAACCGTCTTGACATTATGATACGCCGCCTCAAGTTATCGCAGCGACAGTCGATTCTCTTAGGAAAATAATTTAAAAAAAAGTGAACATTTTGGCACCTGACGCCCGTGTATATGGATCAATCGGCCGTCTTCGACGTTTTTATATATTTTTTAATTGATAATAATACATTGGCTTTTTGCCTTGATATTCGAGGTTTGGTTTTAACGTTGCACCATGAATGTAAACCTGAAGACTGGAGAATATTTATAGATTCATCCAAAAGTGGTTTAAAAGCAGTTCTACTCCACGTTACCAACTCAAAAAATTCCGTCCCGATTGCAATAAGCACAAACACAAAGAATTCATCCTTAAAAAAATCATCGATCTAGGGCCGGTTTTTCAATCGTTGGTTAAGTTTAACCTACGGTTAACTTTCTTAGATACTATTGTGTTAACAATAGTATCCAAGGAAATTAACCGTAAGATAAAGTTAACCAACGATTGAAAAACCGGCCCCTAGTGAAGTACAATGAGCACAAATGGAAAATTTGTGCGGACCTAAAAGTTGTTTCAATTTTAACTGGTTTGCAACTGGGGTACACAAAAAATATGTGTTTTATATGTTACAAAAAAACAAAACTGGCCTACACAGGAAGAAATTAGATTGCGTATTACTACCGCCACTACACATAAAGCTAGGAATAGACCTATCCAATAAAACAGACTTTTGGATAGCGCGT